ATGAGCTCAGTGAAACTAAGATTTGTATCAATCAGCACGCTCAGATCTCTGAAAGTTTCACATCTCTTCAAATAGAGCCTTTGATGTGATAGGAGATTGTAGATCCAGTTTCCGAGGTGAAGCGTTGAGCATTTATCGAAGTTCAACGCTAGAGCCCAATTATCACACTACTCAACTCTTACTGGTGTCCAGCTCCTCAGTAAAGCCTTCTCTAACGCGGCAAACTTCAGAAGTGTGTATTATCAACTAATACACTAATCAAATAAAGAAACAGGGAAAACTCACTGAAAGTGAACAGGTTCTAGAAGGTTCGTCAAATTGCGCGCATAGTGTGTAATGCACACGTCAAAACCCGTCGTGGACGTTTGACTAAAACTCCATTGGTGAACAAGAGCAATTATCAATTCAAATACTTTAGTATGAGGGATCTACGAGAACAGATATTGATGCAAGATACTCCTACCATGAAAGGTATTATGTTTTCTTCAAGCTTGAACTGATGATTAAGCCAATGTACGATAACACCTACTCTATTTTTGCAGACCTGGTCCTTCGTCTCCGCCAGTACACGATCGTAAACAAGAGAGCATATTCAAGCGAGAAAAGAAGCAGCAAGAAGAAGAAGCCGCTGAAGAGCAACAGATCAAGGTCAAAAGACAAGGAGGATTTACATATGATGGAAGAAATAGTGATCAACGAAAAGCAACGACTCATTTGGGCTCAATGGAGCGTAGAAAGCGTAGCAAAGAGCCATGTGATTTGCAAATCAACGAGGGTGCAGCATTAAAAGAGATGAGCAAGTTATATCAGGATCTGTTGGAAAGATTTGAGAACTTGAAGCAGAAGCAAGAAGCTCAGGTATAGAGTTTTAGGATTCTCAAGAAGTAAAAAATAGTACTAGTATGACTTCTTCCCTAAATTCATTGCTCTTCAACCTTTCGTTCATATTATCTCCTGAAAAACTATCTCTCTTCAAAATAATTTCTCTTAGAAAAGAAGGGCGAGCTCAACTTTTGATCGATCATTCAACATGTTGACGAGAACGCGCATTTCAACTTGTCCGCCTCGTGTTCTTAGCTGAAATCAAGCGGCCTGCCATATACGGTACACCTATCGTAGCTGTAAAAAGTCGTAGAGAACATGGAAGTCAATTCTACACTAAGAACATAGGAGAGCTTACGGATTTAGTTTTAGCCATAACACAAGCCATTTTAACAAAGTCGTGACCGACCATGTGAGTCACATTGTCCCACATGGCAGCCATTGCGATGACGTGAAATTGAGGGGTTACATACCTAGTCAAAGTTCAAATGCGCGAAGACGCAACGCTCTAGCTGAACTCAGGCTAAATTCTCAATTTGCTTCTACAGTTTGTGTTACACCATTTCCGCTATATTTCCCTGCTCAGAAGAACCTTGTAGACTGCCGGCTAAGTCCGGGTAGAAAGTCAATGACTGGCAAGGACGCTTCTACTCTTTGGACTGTAATTTGACACCTCTTCTAGGTGGCTACTGAATCTGACAGAATTCGACTACGTCGATTGGCTGAAAAAGATGATAGTGTACACAAAATGTTGAAAGAGCTGATCGCAACCATCAAGGAAGCAGCGGGAGACTTCAAAACTTGTGCTGTAAGTTTTTTTGTTCCCAACTTCGCAACTGCCTCTAAGTGCTTTAGATGCTTGCCGGTTCTTCAATGAAACGAGCGGAACATCACGAGCGTGATTTGGACCATATTATACTTGAACTGGAATCGGCATAGACGTAACGGACGACATTGTATAAATTAACAAAAGCGATTCTGTATGTCGTAATACATAAAAGTTTTGGTGCAAATTTCTGTGCATCTTAACATGCTGTGCCATTAAAAACCAATATTCAACATAAGGATCAAGAAACATTATGAGCTGGAGCAAAATATTTTTATACCACTGCGTCATCTCTGCTTTGCAGAGGCTCGCACTGGCAGTACTTCTGTATGTCTTACCCATTCCCGCATAACAATGACATCGGACTTCACCGCGCTAGCAGGCTATCA